AAAATAACCTGTGGTGCAAGCACCGTACGTCAAGGCGAGAAGCGACACGCTGGCGACGTCATCACTGGTACTTTGGTGTGGTAGGGGGATTGAGATTTTTAATAATTAACTGATCGAAAACACAAAAATTTATGAATAATAATAATAATTAATTATCACTGAAGTTGTTGCAGGTAGGCATAGAAATCCAATAAAAAATGAACCACAAATTACAGAAACATAAATTTTTCTGTTAGATATTTTATATTTGTGAAAAACTGTATACTGGTATGAACCGGAACCGATATTTCATTCCGGTCCGGGTCCCTGGCTAGGATCACTACAAATAGCATTCTACTTTCTTGACGTCACTCGCGACCTATTTATCGCGTACAGTACAGGCGATGATGACGGTTGCTAGGCAACTTGACGTCATGAAAGAAGAATTTTACTTGTCGCGATTCCAGCCCGGCACCCGATTGATCAGAAAGAGATCCGAATATCCGAAACGGATTCACATGTTCTGCTTAAAACAGAGCGTTGCTCTCGGCGCGATTCACGTGTTCGGCTTGAGCAATAAAACGCTTCTTAATTTCGCGGGGTGCTCCTCCTACTCCGTCAAATTCGATGGATCCAAGAGTTTCATCAAAACAATAAAGTATTGTCTGGCTAGCCAAACGGCGAACTGCAATAGAATTTGCTGCTTTGCCAAACTTGACGGACAGCATTGCGAAATGATGGATGTGGAGAGGCGTGATTATTCAGAGGCATGATTCTATTCGTTAGAGCCTGGTTAGAGCCTGAACGACAGCACAGTGGCGTGGCTATTCGCGAAACTTAAAAAAAAAACTAATAATTTTATTGGTGCATTTCCTTGGTGTTTTCGGTACCACTGAACCCAAAGACATGGCTGTCATCAAGCGGTATCAGTGAATATTCATAGGTTACGTCCCATTTTTCTTCCCCCTTTCGTCTCTAAAAACTTACCACTTAATTGCCAGACTATACATTCAACTATTGATTACAAATGTTGTGCTCTCAAGTGGATTATGATTATAATCGCTATCGGAGCACTCCCGCAGAGATCTGTGACGTCACCACCAAGACGGCTAGCGCTCTGGGAGCAGTAAATCCAAAAATGTGATTAAATTTTTGCTCTTTCAGGTTGTTGCATTGCCTTCAAAACTACGTGCAGAACTGATTGTAGTCAGTGCAAAACTGCACTAGAACCTGTTACCAAGAAATGTACAGCACTGAGCGCATGCTTAATTAGTGTTCAAGTTACTAACTCTGTTCTGTTTGCACTGCTCTGATTGCTATTGTTCGAACTATTCTGATCTGCTACTGAGCAATGAATTTATTCACTATAACAGTAGGCCGATTTGAAAATTAATTTTGGGTTTTTAGTAATTCTACTCTGACTGTTCCAAGTGCACTGACGCTTTTTGATCCGTTCCACTGTCCGAACTACTTTGATCGTTCTAGTTCTGTTTTATTTTCACTAACTCGATTTAAATTACTCCAAGTGTTCCAATTGCTTTATTTTCTGTTTCATCTGAACTAACTCTGTTCTGTTTGTACTGCTCCGATTGTTACTGTTCGAACTATTCTAATGTGCTACTAGACAATGAATTTATTCACATTAGGTTGTATTCCTTTCAGACCTAGGAGGGGCTCTGGAACAGCTCCGGGGCGTCACTCGCTCATTTCTTTCGAAAAGTATTTATTGCATCACGCATCTATTCCTTTCAAATAGGGGGCGAGTGACACCGGAGCGAGTAGCTTGAGTGTTTTAAACTCTTGAAAGGAATACAACTTATAACAGTAGGCTAATTTTAAATTTAATTTGAAGTGAAACTTTTCAGGCGGCGTTTCGATATTTGGCGACAATAGTGACAGTTTTTCCTCCGTTTCACTAATAAAGTCTGTTTTTTTAAAAAAAAAAAAGTCAAAATGACATTATGTTGGCAATACAATGTACAAATGTCAATGCTTTCAAATTTTTTATGTAGGAAAGGCTTGTGTTGCCAACATAGTTACTACATTTTTGACTTGGGGAATTATCTTTAAATAAAAAACAGATTTTAGTTGTATTCCTTTCACACCTAGGAGGAGCTCCGGAACAGCTCTGGGGCTTCACGCGCTTATTCCTTTCGAAACGTGTTTGTTGCACCACGTATCTGTTCCCTGCAAATCGGGGGCTACTAAACACCGGAGCGAGTAGCTCGAGTGTTTCAAACTCTTGAAAGGAATACAACTAATAATTGTATTTCTTTCACACCTATAGGAGGAACTCCGAAACAGCTCCGGGGCGTTACGCGCTTATTCCTTTCGAAAAGTGTTTGTTGCACCACGCATCTTTCAAATCGGGGGTGACTTATCTTTAGGGGCGACTAACACCGGAGCGAGTACTTCGAGTGTTTTAAACTCTTGAAAGGAATACAAGTAATGGAGAGTGATTTGAAAAACGCATCACCGGCAAATTTCGTAACTCGAGAGAGAAGAAAGATATGATGTAAAGAGGCGGAGGAAGACAGCTATTGATTGACACAAACCAAGCACTATAGGCGTAAAGAGGATATCCTATTGACAAGCGCCAATATTGATACAAAGAGAAGCATTGCTGAGAAGCACTCTGATAACATTGTGACGTCACTACAGATGCGCATATCTCTTTTGGTATACAATTATCATTGTGTTTTGTGATTATTTCCGTTATTTATAAAATCTGTTTTTTTTTTAAAGATAAAAGTAAAACTGACATTATGTTGGCAATACAATGTAAAATTGTCAATAGTTGTATTCTTTTCAAGAGTTTGAAACACTCGAGCTACTCGCTCCGGTGTTTAGTCGCCCTCGATTTGCAGGGAACAGATGCGTGGTGCAACAAACACTTTTCGAAAGGAATAAGCGCGTAAAGCCCCGGAGCTGTTCCGGAGCTCCTCCTAGGTGTGAAAGGAATACAACTAATGCTTTCAATTTTTTTTTGTAGAAAAGGCTTGTGTTGCCAACTAGTTACTAAATTTTTGACTTTGGGAATTATCTTTAAAAAAAAACAGACTCTACATTACATATTCGTATCCTGTGCTTTTTTATTTATTTATATAAATAACTTCAAAAATAAAGAAATTATGACAGTGTGAAATGTTATCAAGATAAAATGACCACACTGTGTTGTATTTCTTTTGAAATTCTCTCTCTTTCTCTCTATCTCGCACATTCAATCTCTCTCTCACTCCGTGGTTTTCAAGAAGTTTTCACTTCGACCACGTGTACAGCGCTACCATTAGCGCTACAGATGATTTTTTTTTAGTAATTTTATTCTGACTGTTTCAAGTGCACTGACTCTTTTTGATCTGTTTGGTCTGAACTACTTTGACTGTTCTAGTTCTGTTCTATATTTCTATTTCATCTGCACTAACTCTGTTCGATATGAACAAATGAAATGCACGAGCGCAGTTCAATTCAGAACTGAGTTTTAACTAAGGGCGGGTATTATAAAACTACTTTGAGAGTTAACTTAAAGTTAACTTCTGGAATTACATGTAATTCAAAAAGTTAACTTTAAGTAAACTGTCAAAGCAGTTTTATAATACCCGCCCTAGTCTGAAGAAACCTGATACCTCAACGATAAAATGTTCTGATTCTATTCCAACACCGTGTTGAATAGCTGCTGAACTCATAAACTGCACCTTTTTATATCAATTTATTAATTTTTTTTGTAGCAACATTTAATATTTTATTTCTTGCAGCGAAGGAAGGAACCGAGTACAAAAAAGGTGTTCACAAGTTTGATAATTTTCAATAAGTATTTTGAATCTCAACTTTACAGATACATAAAGTATGTTTTTTTTTTAAAGATAATTCCCCAAGTCCAAAATTTAGTAACTATGTTGGCAACACAAGCCTTTTCTACATAAAAACTCGAAAGCATTGACAAATTTTACATTAGCTGGGTTCGGCTATTCAGCGCGGAGTGGGAGTAGAGTGAACAGAGCTAATGGAGTCACCTCTAATACGATAAAAAGCAATGCCTGAACCTTAACCCGAACGGCTAGAGTGCGAATGGAGTCACTCCGAGTGCACGGAGTGAGCAAGCCGAATCCACCTATTGTATTGCCAACAGAATGTCATTTTGACTTTTATCTTTTAAAAAAAACAGACTTTATTTCGCAGTGCCTTTTAGGGTATCCGATTCAAAAAACAAAATTTCCGGTGAAACGGAAAGTCAGGAAAACTTCCACTGTAGAAAACTTAGAAAACTTTACAGTAGCTAAATAAACCTTTACATACAGTGGCGACAATAGAGTTCCCGCCGCCATCTTGTTCCCAACCTCTTGTTTCTTTTAAATATGAATTTATAGGATTTGAATGAACATCTTTCATAAAAAATTGAAATCGAGGTATTTGATGACTATTACTTATTAGATCCATCAAATACATTGTTTTCCATGTTTTATGATGGATATTCACCTAAATCTTATATATTCATTTTTGACATAAGCAATAGGTGGGAACAAGATGGCGGCGTTTTCAATATAAATATAGCCGCTGGAAAGCTGACGCTTTTGAGCACGCAATCGAGCTTTTGCGCGCGCAAATGCTTCAAGCGCGTTTTCGTGTTCCAGCCGTACTGCGCTTCGAGAGCCTGCTAACTTTTGAGTTTCAAACACAGAACACTGTGCTGCACCGTGCTTGAAGCACACGGCTGGAAAGCGACTTATATGGGATTTTAGAACCAATCAAAAATAAGACAACAATTGTCGCCACTGTGGGTAATAGAGTCACTGTAGAAAACTTTAGAATGTCACGACATCTACAGTCGATTTGCCTAATGTACCGAAAGTGAGGCGGGAAATTTTGAAATTATTCAATGACTGAAATATTGAATAAAATTTTACAATAAGTTATCTTCCTCAGTCAAAACTTAAGTTCATTTTATATTATTAAACACAATCACCTTTACTAATTAATTCAACGCCATCTAGCGTTAATTACTTAAGTCAATTAAGTAAAGCTGACTTATCTCTAAAAATCTGGATGAGTAATGAGTTAAATGAAATCCTAAACAAACAAGTACATAAAATGGTATTGCGTTGATTGGTTTTTCGATTTTAAAGGCCAGACGGAAATTGTAATGCGTTCGGTGCGGTGTAAAAATTTTCCACGATCGTCATCATGTGTGCAACTATTTTCAAAAAGCAGGAAAACAAAGCGAAACTGGACATGATGTCGTTCCAGAGTTGTCTGGTCGACGAAAACTGGGATTATTTATTCGAAAATAATAATAATAATAATGGGAATAATAGTACCATTGAACATGGAGATTTAATAAGTTTCAATAATAGTTCTAATAGCAAGGAACAAACGGACTCGGACGAAGGGTAAGATATAAAGTTATTTTTGGAAAGTGCACTTTTTTGAAAAATTGCCAATTTTGGGCATCTGTGTCTGTGTGATTCCTTAAACTCGGATTTCTACACGTTTGTTTTGATTTTGATATTCAACACGGTTTTATATTAACTAGAATAATTTATTATAAATATAAAAAATGCTTAAGCCCTTATATTATATCTGTGTATTTTTCTTTATATTTCTTCATGTAGTTCAGGGTGTCAACTGACATTACTGTAAAACACAGGCAATATACACAATCTAAAAATAATGAATTAAAATTTTCCATGAAGAAATTATTAATCAATCAGCTGTTGACAATAGTCAAAGGTTGCGATATTTTTTTCCAGTGACAAGTGTGGCAACACTGTTTTAAAATTGTTTTTTTTTTACGTTGGCAACCCTTGCGGAAGTCATAAAACCGGAAACTTGATTTTTTAAAATTCTTTTCAGCTACAATACTTCAATTTCACCAAAACGCACAACGAAATCAAGCAAATTAATGAAAGACCAGCCAGAACCTGAATCCATTAACCGGTTTCAATGCGAATACGATGGTTGTATTAGAACCTATAGTACTGTCGGTAATCTTCGGACTCATATGAAGACTCATAAAGGTACAATATAATTCTACAAAAGTCTCAATATAAACTTGAAATTTTTCAGGTGACTATAGATTCAAATGTACAGAAGCCAAATGCAACAAAGCTTTTCTAACTTCCTACAGTTTGAAAATCCATATAAGAGTCCACACCAAAGTGAAACCTTTTGAGTGTTCTCAAGACGATTGTCGTAAGGCTTTTAATACTTTGTACAGGCTGAGAGCTCACGAGCGGATACATAATGGACAAACTTTCAATTGCGAGGCTGCCGGTTGTAAGAAGTTTTTTACTACTTTGAGCGATTTGAAAAAGCACAGGCGGACGCATACCAGGGAAAAACCATATAAGTAAGAAACAATTTTTACTCTTCTTTTTTTTTTCACATTGAGATTGCGATTGGTAACACTGAAGCAAAAAGATAATAATTGTCTTCTTTGTCTTTCACTTGCTGGTAGAAAAAGATGCAAATACAGGCAGTGCACTTAAGAGTCTTACCAATCAACAACTTCATAGACCAAACAACTGGAGAGTTTTATTTTTCAAAAATAGTTAGTGGTTGGCTATGGCTATATGGGTTACTTCTAGTTCTAAATTTCAACTACAATTTCCTATAATTCCAATTCAATTTTTGTCTATTCCCGGCTTTTGAATTTGTGGAAATGAAGAAAAAGCCTTATCATTTAGATTTCTAAAAACTGAAAAATCATTACTTTTTTTCTATTAGAGATAAAAAGCTGAAATTTTCAGCGATTTTTATCACAGTAGAGAACTACAATTCCTGAAAATTTCAGCTCGTTGGGATTTATAGTTCCAGAAATAAAATCGCGTTAAGCAAATTGGGGTAAATTGGTAAAGTTATCAATTTTCTGAGTGCTTTTTTTCATAAATTTTGGCATTAAATCTCAGAATATTTTAGTGTATTGAGTTAAGGGGTCCCGAATGATTATTTAGACACAAAATTTCATCACAAAAAAATTTGAAATTTCATCATTTTAGTACCTTATGATTTGGATTTCTAAAAACTTTGAAAGATCATAACTTTTTTCCTATTATAGATAGAAAGCTGAAACTTTCAGCGATTTATATCCCAGTAGAGAACTACTAATCTCCGAAAATTTCCGCTCATTTGGACTTAAAGTTCCAGAAATAAAATCGCGTTAAGCAAGTTGGGGTAAATTGGTAAATTTATCAATTTTCTGAGTGCCTTTTTTCATAGATTTTGGCTTCAAATCTCAGAATAATTTGACAAGCAATAAACGGATATAAATTGCGCCGCGAGCCGCAGTAAAGGCAGACTTGAACAAGTGCAATTACCTCTCGTTGGGAAAGCCACTCTGGGTATCTTCAACCTTATCATTGTCCACCGCAATTACCTCTCGTTGGGAAACCTCCTCTGGACAAGGCATAAGGGTGACGATAACTAACCGACAGTCCCCTAAGCAGCGTTGACATGTGGTTTCCCATAAGGACCCCAGTGGAAGGGTCATGCATCCTATAGGACTATAGTTTATATGTAAGGGCATATTTCGGAAAATATATATCTATACTTTTATACAACTTGAGTGAGTTTCTGTCCATCGACCCCCAAAGCTACAAACCCCCTATATGTCACTCCCGTAAGGCGGGCAGTTGTGACAATATTCAAAATTCTATTTTTAGCGCCAAAACTAGCCCAATAAAGAACCGAGACTATTCAAAATTCGAATTCAATAGCAAATCAAGTTCCGGGAATATTCACACATTGAATTTTAAAGCCAATTAAGAGCTGGGAATATTCAAAACACCTCCTACTTTAACCAGTTCAAAAGCTTGAAAATAGAAAATCATCGACATTCAAATATTTAACTCTTCTTTTTAGATGCGACGAATCCGGATGTGGAAAATCCTTTTCCGCATCGCACCACTTAAAAACCCATCACCGGATCCACAGCGGCGAAAAACCTTATGCCTGCAAAGAAACACTGGATTGCAGCCGCGCCTTCGCCACTTCGCACAGTCTCAAATCCCATATAAAAACCCATCAAAAGTATTCGCAACCGTTAAAAAACGAAATGGAAAATAATGATGCCATTGTTAAAAATGAACTTGTATCGTTTGATTTTGAGGGAAATTTCAATTTTGATAATTTCGATAAGGATTGGAACGAGATGGACGGGCAAGAAATTAATGTTGATCCATTGGATGGTAAGTAGGCATTATCATTTTTATATTTGAACCTCAGATTTAAATATATATAAGAATCTGAAAATATTGTATGAAACTTTCTCAAATGTAAATAATACCTATATAAACTATTAAAATATTGTCAATGACAAGGTCGATGATTAAAGCGTTATCAGAAATTTTATATTGTCTTATACGACAACAATTATTAGTATTTAAACAATCAATTCAACAATAATCTTTGGAAGGATATGAATAAATAATAAAACGTGACTGATAGATAACGATACATTACACATATGATAATTATTGGCACTTGTCTTCTATTTACACAAAGTAGTGGGAAAATAGAATTTATATATTTTGCTTTTTATTTATGTAAATCTCAGATGTTGCTTGAGGTGAGAAAACACCACAAGATGACAACTTTTCTTTTGAAAAACTTTGACTTTCTACGGCTTAACCAGTTTTTTACAAATTGATTGGAAGTGAAGTAAATATCAAAAACTACTATTTTATGGACAGATCCGCGTTCATTTCGTCCGCCATACTGTCCAGAATCAGGGTTGGTAAAAACCTCTGTGGTAAAAACCATATACCTATAAAAACCTATTTCTATTGGGTTTTTCCATGGAATTTTTCTGTTTTTTTAGGATTTTGGTGTTTACTTGACAAGCTTCAAAATTGGATTATGAAACATTAAAAATTTTCCAAAAATGACACTGCGACAGTTGTTGCTTCATAGCTCCTTTAACTTTTATCCGATTTCAACGCAATTAGGTTCTAGTTAAAGCAAGTTAAATTCTTTACAAACCTGTTAATTGAGATTTCAATCTAGTATCAACAGTTTTGTAGCTGAGCAGCTTCAAAAAGGTCATTATGGTTATAAATTATTATAGTTATTGAATACATATTTACAAAAAATTTCAAGAGGCATTTTCTGTTTACTTTGAGTCCCTCTACCCAAAAGAAAATTTATTTTTTCGAAATTTTGAAATTTGATTTTCCTAAATTTAGTTAATTTTCCAGAATTTTTCCTGGAGTTATTCTCCATTGGATTTTCCACTGGAGAATTTTTAAATTTTAGTATAATGAACTCACTTTCCTCCTTCTCTCCAGAAAATTTCAAAATTTTTTTTCTGCCAGTTTTTCAGAAAAAAATTAAAATGTAAGAGGATGAATTTTCCTTAAATTTGTTAAAAAAAAAACAATTTTCCAGAATTTTCCCTGGAATGATATTTCACTAAAATATTTCTATAATGACCTTATTCTCACTTTCCTTTTTCTCCTCTAAAAATTTCTCAATTTGCTTTTCGCCAGTTTTCCAGAAAAAAAATAAAATGTAAGAGAGGGAATTTTCCTTAATTTGACTTTGAAAAATTAATTTTCAAGAATTTTTTCTAAAGTGATTTTCCACTGGAAAATTTTGAAATTTTGCTATAATCAGCTCGTGACTTTCTTCTTTCTGTCCAGAAAATTTCATAATTTCCCCTTGGATAGTTTTCCAGAAAAAAAAAATGTATGTACAGGGTGGGCCAAATTGGACACTTTCTTATGGAAACACCCTTTATTTTTAGAGAAAAAAATGGACCTCCCACTCTGAGGCTCAAATTTCATGAAATCTTGATTGGTGCAAACCATTTTGATATCTTCAACCGTTCAGCTGCTAGAGGGCGATTCTCGATTTTGAGCAATACAGTGGCTAAATAAACCTTTACATACACTGGCGACAATAGAGGTCCCGCCGCCATTTTGTTCCCAACCTCTTGTTACTTTTAAATATTTATCTACTATAATATATAGGATTTAAAAGGACATCTATCATAAAAAATTGAAATCGACGTATTTGATGACTAGTATTAGGTCCATCAAATACGTTGTTTTCCATGTTTTATGATGGATGTTCACCCAAATCCCATATATTCTCATTTGAAATAAGCAATAGGTGGGAACAAGATGGCCGCGTTTTCAATATAAATATATGGGATTTTAGAACCAATCAAAAATAAGACAGCAATTGTCGCCACTGTGGGTAATAGAGTCACTGTATTGAGCAATACTGTAAAGCCTCCATAACTTTTTTGTTTATGAAAATAATTCATTTCCGAAAAGACCTTTCGGAAGCACTTTTTCAAGCAGAATTCAGTGACGTTCTCAGTTTTTTTCTGTCTGACTTCGATTTCGAGATATTGACCAAAATCCGATTTTTTTCAATAGGGCACCCTATATATTAATAGTTCATTGGAAAGCTATGCTTTCGCTGATTTCAATGATATAAAGTTCGATAGGTTTATCTCGAGGTTTATCTTTAACAGTTTTCGAGAAAAAAAATTATTTCGGTTTTTACTTCTGTAAGGAAACTGAGAAAGGTCTCTTTCTAACACATTGTTTCTTATGAAAAATTGAGAAAAATCGGATTTTGGTCAATATCTCGAAATCGAAGCCAGATAGAAAAAAACTCAGAACGTCACTGAATTTTGCTTGAAAAAGTGTTTCCAAAAGGTCTTTACGAAAATGAATTATTTTCATAAACAAAAAAGTTATGGCGGCTTTACAGTATTGCTCAAATTCGAGAATCGCCCTCTAGCGGCTAAACGGTTGAAGATATCAAAGTGCGGTTTGCACCAATCAAAATTTCATGAAATTTGAACCTCAGAGTGGGGGGTCAATTTTTTTCTATCTCTAAAAATAGAGGGTGTTTCCATAAGAAAGTGTCCAATCTGGACCACCCTGTACATACAAGAGGCTGCATTTAATTAAAAAAAAAAACTGGTAAAGTCCTGGAAAATCGAAAAATTAAAGGAAAAAAGTTGGTTTCGGAACTTCTTGGGGTCCCCTCTACAAAATGGCTATTTTGAAATTCCGAAATTTTCACTTGGATTTTTGGCCCTATACCTTTTAAAATCATGTATTTTTTTTTGGCCAAAAAAACAAAGTCAAAATTTCCCAGATTTTCTTTCTCTAAGTCATAGAAAAAGGTCAAAACCTCGGTCAAAACCCATTTTTCTCCCCTTAATTTCCCTTTTTTCCCGGAGTTTCCAGCCCTTTCCTATTTCCCAAAAAATGGAAAATCAAAATTCTCCGAATTTTGGAAAAACAAAAATTCCAGTGTAGAGTATAGAGGAGGTCAAAACAAGCAGAAAAGCTATTTGGCAGTTTCTCCTAGGACGTCTCCTACGCCTGGAAAAAAATAATAAAGAAAATCTATGAGGCGCTTTTCTAGCCTGACATGGTCTAATTAAATGGGCCATAACTCTGGAACGCCTGAACCGATTCCAATATATCATGTTTCATTCGATAGAGGATTGCATTGCCTACAAAATGGCTTTATCCAGAATTTCCAAATTTTTCTTGTTTTTATGGTATGAGCCTTCAAAATTGAAATCTCAATTTCTTAGGAAAAATTATCAAAAAAAAATCTATTTATGGGATTGCTAAGGCCCCTTTCATAACGTAATTGAAGAAAATTTATAAATTTTCATTTTGATTTTTTGAGGAAAATTTTTTTTCATTTTGATTTTTTGAGAAAAACATTTAACAGATATTTAACCGATCGCAGAAAAAATAGTATGTGTATTTCGGTAGAAAATCACATTCTCGGACTTCGGTGTTTGCCGGCCTCGGCTACGCCTCGCCCGTCAACTTACACCGTCGGCCGAGAATGTGTCACTTTTCCACCTAAATACTAAATACACAATATACTATTCACTAAAAAAATTTTTCTAAAGTGATTTTCCACTGGAAAATTTTAAAATTTTTCTATAATCAGCTCGTGACTTTCTTATTTCTATCCAGAAAATTTCATAATTTTCCCTTGGATAGTTTTCCGGAAAATAAGAATTTACAAGAGGCTGCATTTAATTTAAAAAAAAAAACTGGTAAAGTCCTTGAAATTCCTTGAAATTCTGAAATTTTGGCTTGGATTTTTAGCCCTATACCTACAACTCAGGAAATTCTAAAAATGACGGAAATCGAAACTTCAACCGGCCATAACTCCGTAACGGTAAGTCCTAGAGGAAAACTCTTCTCGGGCAGATTGTAGAACTCATCGGGATCTACTAAAAAGCTCATCGAGTCTCTAAAAGGCTCAGTGAGACTTACCTCTACGACTTACCATTTCCAAGATATTCTACTTGGAAGTTTTAAAATCATGAATTTTTTCGACCAAAATTTTCCAGGCTTCAAAGGTGAAATTTCCTCAATTTTTCAAATTAATGAAAATGTATATTTCTTAGGAAAAATTTTAAAAAAAAATCGCTGAGGCCCTTTTCATAACGTAATGGAAGAAACATTTATAAATTTTCATTTTGATTTTTCGAGGAAAATTTTTCAATAGTGGGTTAGTCATTATGTTTTTCTGAATTCCAAATAGCAAACGGCCATAATTTGAAAACGGTAAGTCTGAGAGAAAATCTCTTCTCATGAAAATTGTAGCTCTCAATGAGTACTACAAAAAACTTCCTTGAGTTTTTCCTCTACAATTTACGGTTTTTTGAGTTTAAGGCTTTTTCAAACTTTTAATGAAAATTTCAGTTTTGAAATTTCATAACTTTGGAACGGTAATAGTTATTAATTATAATAGTAATTAAATATTCACAAAAAATGCCATGGGGCATTTTCTTAAATTTAGTTAATTTTCCAGACTGGAGTGATTTTCCACTGGAAAATTTTGAAATTGTATTATGAACACTTTCCTCCTTCTCTCCAGAAAATTTAAAAATTTTCCTTCCGCCAGTTTTCCAGAAAAAAATTAAAATTTAAGAGGTGAATTTTCCTTAATTTTGCTTTAAAAAAAAAAATCCAGACTTTTTCCTGGAATGATTTTTCACTGAAAAATTTTGAAATTTTTCTATAATGACTCCTCACTCTCCTTTTTCTCCTCTAAAAATTTCACAATTTGCTTTTCGCCAGTTTTCCAGAAAAAAAAAAAAAAAATGTAAGAGGGTGAATTTTCCTTAATTTGACGAGTTAATTTTCAAGAATTTTTTCTAAAGTGATTTTCCACTGGAAAATTTTGAAATTTTTCTATAATCAGCTCGCGACTTTCTTCTTTCTGTCCAAAAAAATTTCATAATTTTCCCTTTGATAGTTTTCTGAAGAAAAAAATGTACAAAAGGCTGCATTTGATTCAAAAAAAAACTGGCAAAGTCCTGGAAAATTGAAGGAAAAAAGTTAGTTTTGGAACTTTTTGGATGCCCTCTACAAAATGGCTATCTGGAAATTCCGAAATTTTCACTTGGATTATTGGCCCTATACCTACGACACAGGAAAATTTGAAAATTACGAAAATCGAAACTTCAACCGGCCATAAGTCCGTAACGGTAATAGTCCTAAAGGAAAACTTTTCACGAGCAGATTGTCGAACTCGTCGGGATCTACTAAAAAACTTATCGAGTCTTACCTCTACGACTTACCATTTCCGAGATATTTTACTTGGAAGTTTTAAAATCATGATTTTTTTTCGACCAAAATAAATTTCCGAATTTTTTTTCATCACGTTATAGAGGAGGTCCAGAGAAATGTCAAAACCCATTTTTCTCCCTTTTTTTCCAGGAATTTCCAATCCTTTTCTATTCCTCAAAAAATGGAAAATCAGAATTCTCTCCGAATTTGGGAAAAACTAAAATTTCAGTGTATAGAGGAAGTCAAAACAAGCAGAAAAGCTATTTAGCATTTTTTCCTAGGACGTCTCCTACGCCTGGAAAAAAATTAAAAAGAGAATTTCATACATCTGTCAAAACTGGTATTCCAACAATAAATTGACATGTTTTGATTGTTGATTTGAACCAATCAGATTGTAATTACGCGATAATTTGCACTAGTGCAAATTATCAGATAATTGCATACTAACTGGTGCGAAAACTGGTGTTTTGAAATTTTTTGACAAAAAATTTAAATTTTTGATTTATGAAATTCTCTCATTAAATACAACTCGTGCAATGGAAATATATTTATAATTTTCGACAAATTTGCACTCATGCGTTTTTAACTGAAAAAGGCACTCGTGCACTACGTGCACTCGTGCTCTTTTTCAACTAAAAATGCATTCGGGCAAATTTCCCAAAAATTATCAATAATTTCCATTGCACTAGTTATATTACTATTCAGAATTTCATACCATCTGTCAAAATAGACATTCCAGCAATAGACTGACATGTTTTGATTGTTGATTTGAACCAATCAGATTGGAATTACGCGATAATTTGCACTAAGTAGTGCAGTAACTGGGTGCAAGAACTGGTGTTTCGACATTTTATGTCAAAAAATTTAAAATTTGATTCATGAAATTCTCTCATAACATACAACTCGTGCAATCGAAATATATCTATAATTTTCGATAAATTTGCACTCATGCGTTTTTAACTACTAAACATGCATTCGAGCAAATTTCCCAAAAATTATGGATAATTTCCATTGCACTCGTTATATTACTATTGAAAATCTATGGGGGGCTTTTCTAGCCTGACATGGTCTGATCAAACGGGCCATAACTCTGGAACGCCTAAAATGATTTCAATAAATCATGTTTCATTCGATAGAGGATTAAATTTCCTACAAAATGGCTCTATCCGGAATTTCCAGATTTGTCCCGTTTCTATGTTATGAGCCATCAAAGTTGTTCGGGAGAAAATTTTTTCTAATGAAAATTGTAGCTCTCAATGAGTACTACAAAAAACTTTTTCGAGTTTTTCCTCTACAACTTATGGTTTTTGAATTTGAAACTTATTTAAAATTTTAATATAAATTTCAACTTTGAAGCTTCAATCTGGAACGGTACTAGTTATTGATATTGAAAATAGGGTCATTTTGTAGCCAATTTAATCTTCTTTCCAACGAAACATGATTTATTGAAATCGGTTCAGACGTTGCAGAGTTTGACCCATTTAATGGTGGGGTTAAGTTGGAAAATTCCAAATACAATTTTGGAATTTCCGGGCTTAGGAGGCCTCAATTCTCAAGCAAAATATTGCAGGGGAAAAAATTAGGTAATTAGGCTCTTATTAAAGCCAATTAAATTTTATACAAACTTATCCGTTACAATTTTGATTTAGTTTCAACAGTTCTGCAGCTGAGAAGCTTCAAAATTGAAATTATCGAACATTGAAAGTTTCCCAAAAATTGCACTGAGACAGTTTTTGCCTCACAGCTTCTTTAATTTCCATCCGATTTCAACGTAATTAAGTTCTTATTGAAGCCAATCAAATTCTCTATAAACCTATCGGTTACAATTTTGATTTAATTTCAACAGTTTTGCAGCTGAGAAGCTTCAAAATTGAAATTACCGATCATTGAAAACTTTCCAAACATGACACTGAGACAGTTTTTGCCTTACAGCTCCTTCAATTTTTATCAGATTTCAACGTTATTAGGCTCTTATTAAAGCCAATTAAATTCTCTACAAACCTTGTCATTAATATTTTAATTTACTTGCAACAGTTTTGCGTCTGAGAAGTTCCAAAATTGAATTTATCCAAACATTGAAAATTCTCCAAAAATGACACCGAGACAATATTTGCCTCAGAGCTTCGTTAATTTTCATCCAATTTGAACGTAATTAGGCTCAAATTGAAGCAAATTAAATTCTCTACAAACCTGTTCAGTTTCAGATCGATTAGTTGGAGACCCACCGACATCTTTCCAACCTCAGCCCTACTTTGACAACATCTACAACACCTACGACTTCAACGCTGACAATTTCAACAACCAACTCACCGAACAAGTGAGCCAAATGCAAATCGAAAACAAAGCGAAATACGCGGCCGAAAACGACTTGAGCGGTCAATTCGAGATGGCCAACGGCCTCAAGAATTACGCCACAGTAAATACGGCCGAGCCTGTTGACATATTGTTCAATATTGGCACTGAAAACGTTGAAAATGTGCCCAAACAAGAAACCTTAATCAATGAACCTTCACAATTAGAAGAAAACTCTTTGATAACAGAGTTTGAGAATGCTGGTATTGATTTGTACGATTTTGCTGACACTTTTGGCGATAACATTTTCGGCATGGACAATAAGGAAGCCAACGTAAAAATACTCAGTGTAAAAACTATCGTAGCCCCTCAACAGGCTCAATTTATATCAAAAGAGCCCGCACCTCCAGAAGCCTTGCAAGTGAATTTGGCAACCCACGAAGAAATTTCCAGTGCCTGGAATGTGGGCACCTACAACAACGCTGGCCAAATTTTCCAAGAAAACTTAAACGAAAATCCTTTGACTGCTATTTCAACCGCAGTCCAATCGTATTTGAATCTACCCGAAGTCCAAAACAACAACAAACAACGTGTGGCCATAGTAGAAGACATCGAAAACGTCGACAGATTTTTAAACAGCTTGAACGAGCCTCAAAAAAAATCGGACGCCTTGAAAACTCTAGCCTCGGAAGCCGACATATGCAAATGTGAGAATTGTAAGTGCAACGATTTTTCTAATTGTCAAAAGCCAGTAGTAGAAAGTTGCTGCACTAACCGCCCGAAAATTGCTTCTAACAACAACTGCGAGTGTGCACCAAAAGCTTGCTGCCACGATAATAATATTAAAAAAGAAAAAACCTGCAACGAGAACTACTTCAAGCAAGCCTTGTTGGGCTTGGTGCAGAAAACCGACGGTTGCAAGGAGAAAGGGGACGATTGCTGCGTGGTTTTGTGCCTCAAGACCATGGAACAGTTGAGGCAGATGTTGAAATTTGCTACTGGGTGTAAAGGGTTTAAGAATTTGACGTTGGGGTGTGTTAAAAAGTCGCAATGCGATTGAAGAGTTGATTTGGTGAGTTACATTTTTGGTTGTAACTTTATTTGTATTTTTCTCATTAAAACAAATATGAGAAGAGTACCAGTTGAGTTTACTTACACAAAAATTTGGAACAAAATTTCAACATAAAAATCTGGTTTAGGTAAAGTATATATACGTAAAATTGTTTTGTTGTTTGTGTTTGATGTTTGTAATAACTATCTTTTTGTACTTAATAATAATATTAATTTGACTGGAAAAACAATATATTACAAAAAAGTATCATAATATAAATTTATATTTTTGTATTTCAGCTATTTGTATCATCTGAAAAAAAAAAAAATCAAAGATTCTGATCTCTTTAGTTAGAATCCTCTTTATACCAGGTTTGTTTTACAAGACTTATGCCTGGTTCATTCATCTTCAGATAAACTCAAGATTGCGTTTTCATCCGTCAGATTGCATGCCTGACACTCCTGACAGTTTATCAGAAGGTGGATAAATCGGCCCTAAATGTTGAATTGAGAATATTGAACCATTCACCGTAGTGCCTTTAAAATATAAATGTTCAAAAATATTGTGATTTGTGTGCCAATGATAGGATATTATGCGCTTTGAAACTGTAATGCTTATGCCAAAATAATGATTATTAGATTTAAGGTATAAAACATAGAGGATTTAATCATGTCTAAATTTTTTGTAGTCACTGATTTTAACACAAATCAGTCTTCCTGTATGAAGGAGTGGATCAGATTTTTTTGAATAAAAACACGAAGTTACAGGGTGTTTTTGGAAATGCAACAATGATAAAGATATATTCTATTTCACATCTTTGTAAAATTGCTAATTTTTATGCTCACCCTGTATGAAGTGGAAATTGAGGAATTTTATGGACTATCAGATGTTGTGTCTGCAACAAGTAACTCATTAGTAGCTTATCAAGTACGATTCTGATCTGAAAATAAGTGAATTTTTGAATTAATTGAGTCAAACTCACTCATACAATTTATTAATGAGTTAATCAAAGTAATGAGTGAAACTTACTCTTTTAATTCCTTATTTAAGTCAATATTTTACATGAAAGAGTTTATTAATGAGCTTCGGCTCGTCCCGCAGAGTTTTATTGAACCTCAATTTTCTTAAATTTCATATTTGCGCCCTTCTTAGGCTTGTCAATATCTAGTTTATCCAAAAAATGCCCTATTTTGAAAAAATCACAACATCAGTGTTTTCTGCTCAATCGTTTTGAATTTTTGGTATGTTTTTTCCTTAAACCCTTAAAACCAAATTTCCTAAATTTCATATTTGCGCCCTTATCAGGTTTTGAGGAGAAAAATTGAACTCAGAGGCTTGTCAATATCAAGTTTATCCAAAAAGGCCCCAAATTAAAAAAAAATTACAACTTTAGTGTTTGTCTCCCAATCACTTTGAATTTTGGGTATGAGGGTATGTTTTACTTCAAACCCTTAAAACTAATTTCCCTTAATTTCATTATTGCGCCCTTATTAGTTTTTGAGAGAAAAATTCAAACTTATAGGCTTGTTAATATCAACCTTATTCAAAAAGGACCAAAATTTAAAAAATCATAACTTTAGTGTTTGCCTCCCAATCGCTTTGAATTTTGGATATGTTTTACCTCAAACCCTTAAAACTAATTTCCCTTAATTTCATTATTGCGACCCTATTAGTTTTTGAGAAAAAAATTCAAACTTATAGGCTTGTCAATATCAACTTTATCCAAAAAGGGCCCATTTAAAAAAAAAATCATAACTTCAGTGTTTGCCTCCGAATCGCTTTGAATTTTTGGTATATTTTACTTCAAACCCTTAAAACTAATTTCCCTTAATTTCATTGTTGCGCCCCTATTAGTTTTTGAGAAAAAAATTCAAATATATAGGTTTGTCAATATCAACTTTATCTGAAAAGGGCCCATATTTGAAAAAATCATTAGTTTAGCGTTTGTCTCCCAATCGCTTTGAATTTTTGTTATGTTTTACCTCAAACCCTTAAAAATAATTTCCCTTAATTTAATTATTGTGCCCCTATTAGTTTTTGAGAGAAAAATTCAAACTTCTAGGCTTGTTGATATCAACCTTATTCAAAAAGGGCCAAAATTTAAAAAATCATTACTTTAGTGTTTGTCTCCCAATCGCTTTGAATTTTAGGTATGTTTTACTTCAAACCCTGAAAACTAATTTCCCTTAATTTCATTATTGCGCCCCTATTAGTTTTTGAAAGAAAACTTCAAACTTATAGGCTTGCCAATATCAACTTTATCCAAAAAGGGCCCATGTTAAAAAAAATCATAACTTCAGTGTTTGCCTCCAAATCGCTTTGAATTTTTGGTATGTTTTACCTCAAACCCTTAAAACTAATTCCCTTAATTTCATTATTGCGCCCTTATCAGTTTTTGAGAGAAAAATTCAAACTTATAGGCTTGTCAATATCAACTTTATCCAAAAAGGGCCCATATTAAAAAAAATCATAACTTCAGTGTTTGCCTCCCAATCGCTTTGAATTTTTGGTATGTTTTACCTCAAACTCTAATAAAAAACTAATTTCCTTTAATTTCATTATTGAGCCCCAATTAGTTTTTGAGAAAAAAAATCAAACTTAGGCTTGTTAATATCAACTTTATCCAAAAAGGGCCCATATTAAAACAATCATAACTTCAGTGTTTGCCTCCCAATCGCGTTGAATTTTTGGTATGTTTTACCTCAAACCCTAAAAACTAATTTCCCTTAATTTCATTATTGTGCCCTTATCAGTTTTTGAGAGAAAATTTCAAACTTATAGGCTTGTCAATATCAACTTTATCCAAAAAGTCCCCAAATTAAAAAAATCACAACTTTAGTGTTTGCCTTCCAATCGCTTTGAATTTTTGGTATGTTTTACCTCAAACCCTTAAAACTAATATCCCTTAATTTCATTATTGCGCCCTTATTAGTTTTTGAGAGAAAATTTCAAACTTATAGGCTTGTTAATATAAACTTTATCCAAAAAGGACTCATATTAAAAAAAATCATAACTTCAGTGTTTGCCTCCCAATCGTTTTGAATTTGTTGTATGTTTCACTTCAAATATTTAAAACCAAATTTCCCAAATTTCATATTTGCGTCCCTATTAGTTTTTGAGAAAAAAATTTAATCTAAAAGGCCTGAAAATGAGTGAATTTTTCAACTAATTGACTGAAACTCAACATTCACTCAATTTATTGAACAGTTTATCAATGAGTTAATCAAAGTAATGAGTGAGATAAATCTACTCCATAATTCACTCAGTTTCAAGTCAATATTTCACATGGAAGAAAAAATTTGATAAAAATTGAGGACAAATTAGGAAGAAATTGGTTGACAAGTAAACATATTATTTTCTCTATTCCGGGCTTAATTCTAAGCTCTTTTTACTTAAAGGAAATTGAAGAAAACAGAAATTCATTTGGCATTTTTAGAAAATTGCTAACTTTCACAATCACCCTGTATAAAATTGAAATTTTATCAGAATTTATTAAACTATAAGATGCTGTGTTTGGATTATCTTGAAAAAAATTAATTCTCAAGTTACAGAGGGTGCTATTGGAAATGATACGAAGGTGGGTTATTCTATTTTACATCTTCGTGAAATTGCTAATTGCTACAATCACCCTATATAAAGTTGGAACTGAGCAGTTTTATACAGGCTATTAAGTGTTACAGAGTAGAGTGCAAACAAAAATGGAATCATTACCTACGCATTTTCAATTTAATTTTTCTTTTAACCAACTCTGTATAAACTGTCCAAAAAATAAGAGGCCCTAGAAAAAGGGAAAATTATATGATACAGAGTGTCCCATTTCACCTTGAGAAATAACTTATCTGTACTTTTTTAGATGGTACATCTAAATTTTAGGCACCCTGTAACATGGAAATAAATAATTTTTGGTTCCCATGATTAAATCCTAAAATGTATAACAAAAAACTATAATTTTATTTATTTTTTGTGCAATATTTATTATATATTGATTACCCAAACTTAATTCGATATTTCTAACCTAATTTTGTTAGTTTTTTTTTAAATTAGAATAATTATTGTTATATTAATACCGATATATTTTGTGTGTCTATGTTTATTGTTAATTGGAATAAATTGATGTTTTGTTTTTAAATTTTTCCTTGTCCTTTTACAACTAGATAGTCAATCGTTGAAAATTTAAATTTTAAAATTAAAATCTCAAAGCGAGAGGTTTTCAAAAGATTGACGAAACGTGAAATCAAATCCCATCCAAAGTGATCATCTTATCACCCGGTGCCATTATTTATATGTAAATATAAAAACTGGAGGGTGATTTGTACATCAAAAGCGAAACCCATTTCAATTAAAAACCCGGTAATACTCCTGACACGTCCTTAACACTTTTTTTTAGGAAACCTCTTCTCCTTGAGCCTGTCAGGAGGTTTTTTTAATGTATGCCATCGGGAGTTTTCTCATTTTCCCCCCACAAAGTATAAGCATGTTTCGTTCCCGGTAACGAACCCACTTTTTAATTAAAGAAAGCATTGAATTATTCATTTTTTGCGGCATGCGGCAAAGCCAAACTTTCCAAACCCCGTACACCGTCCTTAATGAACCTAAAGGACGAAGGCAAAAAAAAACTTAACGCATATTCCGATGAACAGAATTTAATTACTCGTGGAAAATCCTTAATTAAATCAAAACTTTTCCTCCACTGAAATCTTAATGTCTATATCAGATTTTTTAGGCGACAGGAAACTTTCATTTTAAGAAGTTTATTTATTGAGGGAGGAATTTTTTTTTTTTTTCTCAAAGTAGGTAATCGTGGGGGCCCCTCCGTCGTCAGATCAAAGCAACTCTGACGAAATGGAGTTTGCCAACACACCTTCTCGCTTTGATGTGCCTCTTGATTGCTTGCGAGAAAAGGCAGCATGTGTGTGTGTATGTGGAAACTGTTTTAAAAGTGGTTAAAAGGGAGTTTATATTGGTTTAGATGATAGCAAATTGACTGGAAAAGAAGTTGCAATATAAGGTTAACTACTATCATTGTATTATCTACTATACTAAAGTCTCGATTTCCTACATGTACTTACAATTTTTCCTTATTTTCACTTGGTTCCACAAATTAATTACTTTAGCCTTGCTTTTGATGTCTTTCCGGTGCCGAATTTATGGGTTCATTTTCAGGTTCAGGAACCTCATGATGCTTCCTGATTGTAGGTAATTAAATCGTCTTGCTTAGAAGGGTTCTCAAGTTTCCTCGAACCCCTATAAAAAATAAAAAAAACTAACGGAAGTTTTTGTACAGATTTTGAGGCAGCGGTTTTAGTACTGAGGTAGATAGGTTTATTATTTAGATTTGGGAAAACCTTGAAAGGGAATAACTTTTTTTCTATTAAAGATAGAAAGCTGACATTTTCAGCGATTCTTATCCCAGTATAGAGGGCTACAACGCCTCGGCTACAATGCCTGAAAATTTCAGTTCATTTGGAAGTATAGTTCCAAAAATAAAATCGTGTTAAACAATTTGGAGTGATTTATCAATTTTTCAATTTTTTTGAGTGCCTTTTTCATAGATTCCGGCTCCAGATCTCAGGAAAACTTCAGTGGCGTAACTTCAAATCCGGGCCCCCCCGCAAGGATTTTCCCAGGGCCTATCTCTTATGTATATTTTTTTTTTTTTTCGTTTTCTTTATACAGGGTGTCCGTTTTAAGTGATACCACTGTTGCTATCTCCGAACCGGTAAGAGGGACGAGGTCGATCAAATTAGATAAAAGTGGCAGATTTTAGTATCCTGAAGGTAAGTGCTCAGGGTTGCCAAGTTTTTGTATGTTTCCGAGATATAAGGGAAAATGTCAAAAAAATTTAAACCCATTTACATACAAAAGATTCAAGATTCTTTCTTCTCTACAAAATGGTGCCATTGTTATCTTCACACTTCGACCATCTTCACACGACTTTTAGTTGTGTTTACATTTTCCTTTATATTTCGGAAACGAACAAAAAATTGGCAACCCTGTGAACTTTCCTCCAATGGCTACAAAAATCTGCCACTTTTATTTAATTTAAAATTTAACCGACCCCGTAACTCTTACCGGTTCGGAGATAGCAACAGTGGTATCACAGCCACAGTTGATTTTGCATCTGTGAGTATGTCTAAACATTTCTCTCTGAGATCCCTTACATAGGTTAGACATACTTTTTCAATGGTTGCTATGTATTATGAGGTTCATAGGTCAGGTTTAAGTATTTTCTTTTAGTTAAGGAATCACCAGATTCACCAGAGCAAATTTCATTAGTTGAAAACAGTCAAAAAACTATAGTTTCAACCAATGAAATTCACTCTCACGGGTTTTGTGATCTCTGCAGAAACAGACCTAATATTCTAGTACCTACCTACATTATTTTAGCTAATATCCGACTGTTATATTATTTGATGAATAATGACAAATTATATAAAAGTCAGTTAAATACGAAATAATTCCCTAGGGCGTTATGCTAAAAAATAACGCCCTAGGGCATTATGAGGGCGTTAGGACTATTTTAATACCCTACGTTATGACTTTTTTTCCAGGTAAATGCTAGTCCTTGATTTCTTTTAGATTAATTTATTCAAAATTTTCTCATATAAAAAATAATTAGTCGGACATTAAGCGTTGAAGACATCAGGAGTTAGACAGACTTTTTCAATGGTTGGTATGAGGTTTATAGGTTAGGTTTAAGTATTTCCTTTTAGCTTAGTAATATTCTTGTCGCCCGTTTAGTACTTTCTTGTCGCCTGGCCTAGGGGCCCTGCGGGGCCCCTAGGATCACGGAGCCCCCCCGCAACTGCGGGCCCTTAGTTACGCCACTGGAAAAGTTGGTGTATGGAGTTTGGGGGATCCCGAAAGCCCATTAAGACACAAAATCTCAACCAAAAAAAAAAATTGAAATTGATGATTTAGATTTTGGAAAACTTCGAAAGGTCATAACTTTTTTTCTAATAAAGATAAAAAGCTGAAAATTCCAGCGATTCTTATCCCAGTGGAGGATTACAATCCCTGAAAATTTCAGCTTATTTGGACTTATAGTTCCAAAAATAAAATCGTATTAAGCAATTTGGAGTGATTTATCAATTTTTCAATTTTTCTCTGAGTGACTTTTTTTTATAGATTTTGGCTTCATATCTCGGAATAATTTAGTATATGGAGTTTTGGGAATTCCAAAGGACCATTAAGACACAAAATCTTTAAAAAAATATAATTGAAATTTCATGGTTTTAGCACTGAGGTGATTTAGATTTTGGAAAACTTTGAAAGCTCATAACTTTTTCTATTAAAGATAGAAAGCTGAAATTTTCAGCGATTCTTATCCCAATAGAAGACTTCAATCCCTGAAAATTTCAGCTCATTTGAACTTATAATTTTAGAAATAAAATCGTGTTAAGCAATTTGGGGTAGTGATGCCGCGAGACGAGACGAGACGAGATTAGGGGTTGATCTCGTCTCGTCTCGCCTGAGCATCAATCTCGTCTCGTCTCGACCTCGAGATTAACTCGAGACGAGACGAGAGTCGTAGAGAGTCTCGTCTCGTCTCGTCTGATCTCGTCTTGCGAAAAAATCGCTTGCATTGTACAACATAACCTATGGATTTTTCTTGCTGGTTTGGTTCGTATTTCGTATTAAATAAAATCGAATGTCCAGCTGGTCCAGAGCTAGAAAAAACGCAATAGCTGTATTTCTTTCGAGAGCTTGAAACATTAGCACCCTACCCCGCTTTGAAAGGAACCGCTCGTGAGATGGTGTGTGAGAGGAAAGGACCGAAGAGAGGGATTGGGGCTTGAGCATTTCGGGTGCAACAAACACGCGAAACGCCACGGAGCTGTTCCGGAGCCCCTCCTTGTGTGGAAGGAATACAGCTATGGCTAACAGCATGTTGTATTTCAAACTTCCTACGACAGAAAACAGTACAATTTGCTCTGAAAACAGTACAATCGCATGACCGGTTTCAGCAAGGATAATAAACACTACTACAGGATACAGGATTGCTCATCGGCCTCGATTTGTCGCATCAACATGATATGGTGTAGCACCGTTGTCAACGTCATCAACGGTGCCGACGACTATTTGCGCCAGCGGTCGTAGTTAAGAATTCAAAATTATGATTGATGACATAATATGTAGAGATGAAGATGAAGAGAATATTTTAACGAAATGTTTGTTTTTGAATGCTAATTAATGTACTGAAACCAAGTTCATAAAGCCAAAAGGGAATTTTCCGCGCTGTAACCACAAGTAACCAGGTATGATCATACTATGACGTCATGATATCTCATTTGACATATTGAATGGTGAGGTATGAGGTAACCATAAGTATAAAAAAAATGGTATGATGTAACTACAAGTAAAAATGTTACATGGTTACAGCGCGGAAAATTCCCTAGAGTCAGCGGAATCATAGCCTGTGGTGCAAACACCCTACGTCAAAGCGACATTAAAGCGAAGAACGACACGCTGACTATGTCATCAGTGGTACTTTTGCGTAGTGGGGAGCTTGAGATTTGAACTACACAGACCTTATGGGCAATCCTATAGTGTTTATTATCCTTGCGGTTTCAGTTCATTTGAAATTTCTCCAGGAACAATACTGCATATACCGTATACCTATCATTTATTTATTATTTATCGATTATTTGACGGACGAGACGAGATTAGTCGAGAATCTCGTCTCGTCTCGTCTCGAAGTCGAGACCAAATGGCCTCGAGACGAGACGAGATTGGGGCGAGACGAGACGAGACGAGAGTGTCATTTTAGTCTCGTCTCGCGGCATCACTAATTTGGGGTGATTTATCAATTTTTCAATATTTCTGATTGCCATCTTTTATAGATTCCAGCTCCAGATCTCAGAATAATTTGGTGTATTGAGTTTAGGGGATCCCAAAGGACCATTAAGACACAAAATCTCAACCAATAAAAAAAAATTAAATTCCATCGTTTTAGTACTGTCTTATTTTCTAGTGTCTTAACATCGGCTTCCAATTATTCTAATCAACTGTGTTTCATTTTTTTTCCT